ATATATATATTTCCTCTTTCTCCTTTTTTTTTTCCAGAGAAAATCAAAAAGCATTAGTTTACTGCCTCCCCTCTCCCTAGCCCATGCAAAACACCACCACTGTACAGCAGATGTCTAGAAACACCTAACTACCCCAGGTGCTACAGCTCATCACCCTGCTCCTAAAACCAGCGCTGCTGTCGTCATTGTTGCTGACCTCATCCTTAGAATTCGCTAGATTAATTGTAAGCTTCAGTCCTACTAGTACGAAAGTACTCATATTATTCCTATGTCTTTCATAAAGGTGATCAGTATCACTAAAAAAAAGCTTTTATATTATTTCTACCTTGAAGACTGTCACTTCCTAATTGTCTGTGCATCTGCTAAGACCAAGACCTTTGCTCTCAACCTGAAACCTAATTACTAGCACTGTGACAAATATCTCTCCTTGGTTTAGTCTTTTACACCTCTTTTTTTTTTCCTGAGAGATAGCAACTGGTAAGTTTAAAAAGCTGATTCTGCCCCTCTACTCTACTCTGGTGAGACCTCACCTGAAGCGCTGTGTCCAGCTCTGGAGCCCTCAGCACCAGAAGAACATGGACCTGTTGGAGCTGGTCCAGAGCAGGCCACAAAAATGACCAGAGGGCAGGAGCACCTCTCCTACAAGGACAGGCTGAGAGAGTTGGGGCTGTTCAGCCTGGAGAAGAGGAGGCTCCAGGGAGACCTTATAGCAGCCTGCCAGTACCTGAAGGGGGCTACAGGAAAGTCCAGGAGGGACTGCTTATAAGGGTGTGTAGTGACAGGACGAGGGGCAATGGTTTTAAACTGGAGCAGGGCAGACTTAGATTAGACATGAGGAAGAAGTTCTTTACACTGAGGGAGGTGAAACACTGGCACAGGTTGCCCAGAGAGGTGGTGGAGGCCTCATCCCTGGAGACATTCAAGGTCAGGCTTGATGGGGCTCTGAGCAACCTGATCTAGTTGAGATGTCCCTGCTCACTGCAGGGGGGTTGCACTAGGTGACCTTTAAAGGTCAACGCATTCTATTACTTTATTCTATGATTCTAAAAATACCAGTATGTGCTAAAATGAGAGTGCTAAAATGTTTTAAGTTTTCAAGAGACAATTTTCACATTGGGTACTTCAGCAACGTAGCTACCACTTGCAGTATTTCACTAGCACATGAAACAAAAAGCGTACACTAAAAATTTTATCTAGGTTTACTTTTCTCAGTGTAAAGAACACATTGAAAGTTCTACTGATAGGGAAAAATTCAGTATTTTTTAATTTATGGCATTTATGAACTCAGAGTGCTGAACGGAATTTCAAGGTAGAGCTGAAAACAGCAGCACCACTTCCTTATATCCTCTTGCCCCCTTTTTTATGTCCTCTTGCCCAGACTGCTCCATCTGTACACAACAGGGCACACGAACTCTAACCTGCATTTCAAACATCCTCTTTGAGAAGGATGCTCATAGACAAGACACTGGTCTTCTCACAAGTATTTCAGTGCCTCATTTCATTCTACTTGAGTCCTTTTCAACTAGGAATGAGGTCTTCCTCATGGCAGCAAACAATCATTATTCACTTACAGATATGCTGATCACATACTAAAAACTATCTCAGTACTTCAAATAAAAAAAAAATGCCCTAAAGACTCAAAATTATGAACTGCTTATGCCTTTACAAGAGTAAGAAACACAAATGAGTACATTTGGACATACTTTTGTATGCTCGTATGGAATCTCAAGTGAAGGGTGGTGGCAGACAATTGTCTTCAAATCTGATGTCACTGCAAGTTCCACCTTGCTATAAAAACAAAAAAAGACAATCTTAAAATATATCCCTTTCAATTTTCAGAAATGCTGAGCAAACTGAGCAACCCCAGTGCCAAAGAAAAACAGATTTGACCCTGCCTTTATTAATTCCCAAGAATCCTCTATAGAATAAACCTTTGTAAAATAAGGCTCACATACTTGAACTGAACTTCCTCTTTTTTTCCCCCAACTATCTTCATGTTTCTGTTTTGGATGGAGAGGAAAAAAAAAAGGCTACAATAAAGTGTAAAGGATAGCTGGAAGTATGGGCCGGAAAAAAAACTCAACCAAACACTTTTAGTAACTGCATACAAAACTGTAGCAACAGATGGGGATAATTAGTATGGTACTTAAAAATTAAAGAATAGGAAAAAAAAAAAGCTCTGTTTGGAGTTCCAACTTTTATATTTTGTAAAAGATGATGAGTGTGATGAAAAAGAAGTCCTATTGAGAGGTTCCTTGAGTTCCCATGACACATTAGCTTCCTAAAACCTTGTATGACAGAGATGCTGTGTTTCTCACTCTATTTATATAATTTTTCCAGTTTCTACACAAGTTTCCCAGGCAGCAGCACAAAAATACCTGGACTTTTGCCTTAACAATAAGCACAGATGAAAATCACTGCTCGCAGCTAATTTTGCTCTCCCACAAAACTGCATGGGCACCGGGGTCATCATCATGTTTAGAATGAGTCCTCCATGATTTTTCATTATGTTTTTTTTAAAAATATTAACTTCATGATCATTACAACTGGAAGCAGTACTTAAGTTAATTACACATATCCAAAATTAGCAGGTATTTGATACCGTTATATGACAACTTTAAAACAGAGAAACTAGCCCTGGAATAAATGTCACATGAAAAGGCCCCATCAAAGCATGTTTAGAGTACCAATTGTAGTCTTCAGGGAGAATCGAATATGTAGATTTATGGGAAGCATGATACACAGTTCCATCTGAAAAAAAAAAAAAAGAAAAATCATCACATAACACTATCGTAAAAACAAGCAGAGCTACACCAAATTTAAGAATGTTTACATTTTCGTTCTGTTCCAGGTCTTAATCAGAAATCATAATCATACTCAAGTTTTAGATTAACAAACCCCAAATAGTGTGCAAATAGAAGTTCACTTTACTACACAGAGTCCTAGTGCAATCAAAAAATACAGTAGCTATGTAGCCGTGGCCTATGTTTGCATTTCCAGTTGTATTGTTTTCCTAAGGACAAAACATACTATGGACAAAATACCCATAGATTTCACCATTAGAGCATATTCTTTATACATACAAAGAACACTATCTTATGATTTACAGGGAAGATTTTAATTTCATTCATAGCAATATTTATTATAAAAATCAAATTTGTATTTCATTGACAACTGCTATCTATGGTATGCTAAACACAAAACTTCAATGCCTTGGCTGTCACAACACTAGGGAACTTCACCCCTTTCCCCAGGTACCTGCCGCTCCAAGGAAAGAATCGCAAGGGCCAACAGCACCTGGGACTGTACTAAGTGGACAGAGGAAAGGGATTATCTTCATCTACTCAGCACTTGTTGGACCACATCTAGATACTATGGCCAGTTTGGGGCCTTTTAATAGAAGATAAACTTGAACGAGTTCAGTGAAGGCCTGTCAAGATGGTCAAGTGACTGCAGGTGGCTCAGCCCAGAGCAGAAGCAGCTTTGGGGAGACCTAACCAGCGGCCTCCAGTGAGTTATGTATGAGAACTGGGGTTCCTGAGGAGGAGTCAGTCTGTTTGCAGTGGTGCACAGTGTGAGGATGAGAACATGAAACAACATAAGCTGAAATGAGAGGCTCTGAGTGGATATGTAGAGAAATGTTCCCCTCATGAGGAGAGCCAAGCAGTGGGAGTGGGGCCCAGGTAAGTTTGTGCTGTTTCCATCCCTGGAGATTTCAAACACCCAGATGGACAAAGTCCTGAGCGACACAGTGGGACTGCAGGGCTGAGCCTGCTTTGAGCAGGAGGCTGGACCCTCAAAGTCCCTTCCAAATGATTCTTCCCACAATTTCATTCCCCTTTTTTCATAGAATCATAGAATTATTTAGGTTGAGAAAGATCTTTATGATCGAGTCCAACCGTTAATGTAACATGTGGTGTTTGTTAATAGAATCACAGAATGGTAGGAGCTGAAAGGGACCCCTGAAGATCATCTAGTCCAACCCCTCTGCCCGAGCAGGATCACCCAAAGCAAATCACACAGGAATGTGTCCAGGAGGGTTTCGAAAGTCTCCAAAGACAGAAACTTCACAACCTCTCTGGGCAGCCTCTACCAGTGCTCTGTCATCCTCACAGTAAAAAAGTATTTCCTTATGTTTGGGTTGAACCTCCTGTTTCCCAGTTCATAACCACTGTCCCTTGTCCTGTCACTGAACACCACTGAGAAGAGTCTGACCCCTTCTTCCTGCCACCTGCCCTTTAGATATTGATAAGCATTGATGAGATCTCCCTTCAGCCTCCTCTTCTCCAGGCTAAACAGACCCTGCTCTCTCAGCCTGTCCTTATATGGTGGATGCTCCAGTCCCCTCATCATCTTAGTGGCCCTGCACTGGACATTCTCCAGTAGTTTCTCATCCTTCTTGAACTGGGGAGCCCAGAACTGGACACAGTACTCAAGGGGAAGCCTCATCAGCACAGAGGAGAGGAGGAGGATGACCTCCCTTGACCTGCTGGCCACACTCTTCTTAATGCACCCTAGGATGCCACTGCCCTTTTCGGCAGTGATACAAAATAAATGGTTAAACAGTAATAATCCCTTATCTAGGAACCACACCAGGGGCATCTTGCCTTTGACAGCCACATAGTTATGCAAGGCCTGGAATGGGCCTGGGAGGTGCCTGTAGTTGACTTTTATGAGTACCCCCCCCACACACACACAAATGCATACGTAAGTTTCCAAGTTGGGTGAAGCTTCTTCGACTATCACACTTCAAGAACCGAATTATGATCATAAGAACAAAGTCTTAGTATGTTCCGAGCCTTTTGTTTTTAAATAAGGCAAAAAACCATTTCAGCTTTTTTCTGAAGTTATTTTATTTAGACCATCTTTAGTTTTAATACAGACAGGACAGAGGTCATTCAGTATGTCAAAATCAAGTGAGCTTAAAGAATTAAGAAACTTCTGTGTAGCTATTTTCCTCCTATTTTAGATGTAAAATTCTTAAATTTAGAATTTCTGTTAGCACTTCTATACTCCAGTTCTTCCAATTAAACCACTCTTAGTTATTAAGAAGTTGAGTTCTGGTAAAATATTACTGCAAAAAGATTGTTCAAATTCCTTCCTAAGATTTCTTCCTCCTCCTTTCCCACTAACCTCTAAAACGTAACATGCCCATTATATTTTCTCAGTTCCTCTCTCTCTCTCCTACATCCTCCTACCGACATCTAAAAATGGACAAAAATCTAAGAAATAACATTGCCTATTTTCATTTTTTCTCTGTTTAGGTTAAATAATGACATTTTACCATAGCTTTTTCTCATTACTGCTTTTAAGTCTGAAAATGTAAACCTAAATCTTCAAAATACAAGCAGCGGTAAAAGGAGTGGCATTTAGAAGCTAATTAATAAATCAGAGGAGCATCATACATGGACCATGGAAACTTTAAAAGAAAAAACAAAAACAAACCCATATATCCTTTAATTGTTAGCAGAGAATACAGAATAACAGACCTGATTCTGTTAAGCTAAAAATTCATTTCCATGCTTCCATTGCTTTAAACAGTACAGGAAAGAGGCTCTTAAGGAACACATTTTAACCTAGTACTTCTACAATTTCATCACTACTTACTCCACAGAGGGGCCTGCTGACAGGTTGCTACTGAATGCATCCGAAAGAGGTTGGACCATGCAGTTCTAAGTGATGTTGCCATACTGACAGCCGAGAGGAAACCAGTTCTGAATCAGATGGAACTCAGACAGATACCGTGTCCTTTGTTCCTGCAGAACACTCTCTGGAAGAAACCAGTTTTATAACTGTTAAGGGCACAAGAGACTGATAATCTAATTTCTTTAAGATTTTAAGAATAAATAATATTTACACAGCACATCACAGAATCACAGAAGATTAGGGGTTGCAAAGGGACCTCGAAAAATCATCTAGTCCAATCCCCCAGACAAAGCAGCATCACCTAGAGTAGGTCACACAGGAATGTGTCCAGGCGGGTTTTGAATGTCTCCAGAGGAGACTTCTCTTCACTATTTACCAGCTGTTTAGAAGTCCTTATTATTTAAGATACTAGCACGTGCCTCCTTAGCAGACAAATGCAGTACAAGACTTTATTTATTGAGAGGTACTTTTTGAAGGTACATCATTAACATTAAAAAAGTTTCCAAGCTTGGGTCTTCTCAGTTTTTGTACTTGGCCAAACTTTGCATCCTTCCTTCTGCACTCCACAGAATTATTCCTGAAACATGCTTTTCTCGTTCATGATGTAAATATCCAGACCCAGTATAAAAACAGATGTACTAATAAATAGCACTCACTGTAGTTAACAAACTGGCTATATGCAGTTGCTTTCATCCATTTCAAAAGCCATACAGCTAAAAACTACGAAACACCATTTATAATACCTTAAAGATTACCCCAAGCTTCACAGCAGAAAGTCACATGTAACCATCTTAAGTTTTCAAAAGGAAAAAAAAGTTTTTAAGAGAAACTTATTAATGATGCCTAAAAAAACACCACTAGAGATGGTTTAAAGACATACTCATAAAAAATTTAAAAAAAAAAAACAAGACCTCTTCAAAGCTACTTCATATTTAATGCTTCAGAACACTACCAGATGTCTGCCTTTCCCTATTTCAACAAATAATTACTTATGGCTTTCTTTACTGTGGCAAGTGCTGCTGAAGGTAGAGAACACTAACACAGCATCTACAGAGCTGCTCGTAATTTGCTTTTGAAAGCTCGTTAACAAAAAAAAAAAAAAAAAAAAAAAAAA